GAAAAAAAAAAGGAATTAATTTAACCAAAGAAGTACAAGACTTGTACACTGAAAACTACACATCTCCTCACTTATTGATTACCTCATTGTCTGACATTTCACATTTACAAGAATAGTAAAAAAAAAGAAAGAAAGAAAATCTACTAATTAGCATTTGCATATTAGAAATAGGTGTCTAGCAGTAAGGACCTCTGGTGTGAGAGGCGAGAATAATACTGGCTGTGCTGGTTAAGGTTATGTGTCAACTTGACTGGGCCATGATTCTCAGTGGTGTGGCAGTTATGTAATGATGTAATCATCCTCCACTATGTAATAGGACATGGTCATCCTCCATTTTTGCATAATGCTGACTTTCACATAATCACCTGATCTTTGGGACCTAACTATGTTGATAAGTGAAGAATGTGTGTACAAAACATTGCTAAAGGAAATCAAAGAAGGTCTAAATAAATGGAAGAGAGCTGTGGTGGTGCAGTGGTTAAGTGCTTGGTGAGTCAGCCATTCAAACCCACCAACAGCTCCTCAGGAGAAAGGCATGGGAGTCTGCTTCTATAAAGATTACAGCCTTGGAAGTCCTATGAGGCAGTTCTATTCTGTCCTATAGGGTCACGATGAGCTGAAATCAATGCAACAGCAATGGATTAAATAAAAGGAAAGACACTTAATGTTCATAGACTGGAAGACAATATTGTTGAGATGGCAACACCACCCAAAATGACCTACAAGTCAATGCAATCCTTAAATCCCTATTAAAGTCCCAATTTCTTTTCTTTTCTTCTCTTTTTCTTTTTAAGAAATGAACAAGCTGATCCCCAAATTTGTATGGACTCAGAATAGTCAAAACAATTTTGAAAAAGTAGAACAAAGTTGGAAGACTCACACTTCTCAATTTCAAAAATTTCTACAAAGCAACAATAATCAAAACAGTGTGCTATACTGGCATAAGGATACACATGTAGATCAACAGAGTAGAACTGAGAGCCCACACACCCTATCTCTTCTCTGTACTTGTGCAACTGGTTCTGGCACAATCTATCTGGGGGAAGGCGGGCAGGAATGTGCTTAGGGCTTTGGGGCCAGCCAGAGGGGCACCCTTCTATATTTCCTAGTAACTGCCTGGAAGGGGGAGTTCCAGGGTGTAGGGCAGGTAGCTCACAACCACTGTTTGCTTATGTCGTGGTTGTCACCATGGTCCCCTGAGAGCTGGGCAAACTAAGGAGCTAAACATAACCTCTGGACCTGAGTTGGAGAAGGTATGTACTATGGGTGGGGGTGGGGGTTCTCCTTCACCAGAGCCTTGTTAGGAGGGAAGGAAAGTTAACCCTTCTGGCCCCAAGACATCCTGCAGGCCTCCTACCACAGGACTCATGGTGATTGTGGTAGTTACGTTTGTGTGTCAACTTGGCTTGGCCTGGTTGAGTGGCTGGGCAGCTGGTGGTAGTTATTCCCCATGATGAGACTGGCAATCATCTCCATGGTGGGATCTACCACAACCAGCTGAGTAGCTGCCTTTGGGATGTGGTCTGCTTCCTGTATATAAGGAGAAGCCTTGGGAATGGTCTCTAGCCTATGGCACGCTTGGACCCTGCATGTAGCTGTGTCGTTGCTCAGCAGCCTGCTATGCTCTGCTGACCTTGGGACTTACAATGGACTTAAGTTAATGGCCTGCTGTGTGGTTTGGTAACATTGGGACTCTGCCTTTTTTCCTTTGTCAACCTTGGGGCTTCTCAGCTGCTTGTGATTTAGACCAGCTGTAAGAAGCTGGTGTTGTGTCTAAGGCATTTGACTGCTAACCAGAAGGTTGTTGGTTCAAACCCACCAGCCACTCTGTGGAAGGAAGACCAGGCAATCTACTTCTGTAAAGATTTACCACCTCGGAAACACGATAGGGGTCGCTATGAGTTGGAATGGACTCGATGGCAGTGGGTATGTTTCTTTTTCCTATTGAGCACATAGGAGCTCTCATGGTGCAGTGCATAAGGCATTTGACTGCTAACCAAAAGACTGGCGGTTCAAATACACCAGCCACTCCACAGAAGGAAGATGGGGCAATCTACATCTGTAAAGATTTACCGCCTCAGAAACCCAATAAGGGTCACTATGAGTTGGAATCAACTTGTTGGCAGTTGGTTTGGTTCTGGATTGGTTTGAGCTGCTAAACAAAAAGTCAGTGGTTCGAACTCACCAACTGCTCTGTTGGAGAAAGATGAGGCAGTCTGCTCCCCTGTAAAGATTTACAACCTTGGAAACCCTGTGGGGCGGTTCTCTTCGGTCCTATAGGGTAGCTATGAGTCAGTACCTCAATCTTCTCATCTGTAAAATGGATTTAATGATGGTACCTACCCCACAGGGGTGTTATGTGATTTGAATGACATAATGCACTTAGGGTAGGGCCTGGCACAGAATAAGCCCTCAGGAAATGTCATAGACCTGCATTATTCGATATGATAGACACAAATCACATATGTTGTTATTGTTATTGGGTGCCATTGAGTCAATTCCAACTTATAGTGACCCCACAATAGAGTGGAACTGCCCCACAGCGTTTTCTTGGTTATCATCTTTATAGGAGCAGATCTTTCTCCTTTGTGGCAGCTGAGTGGGTTCAAACTGTCAACATTTCAGTTAGTAGCCAAGCATTGAACCATCAAGCCACCAGGGCTCCTTACACGTCACATGGTGCTATTTAATTAAAATTAAATTAATACTTCAGTTCTTTAGTCATACTAACCACATTTCACATGTGGTTAGTGGCTACCACATAGTGGGCAGTCCAAAGACAGAACTGTAGAAAGATTTCCATCACTGTAGAAAGTTCTGTTGGATGGCACTATAGACAGTGGTGCACACAGTAGGTGCTCTGTGCATCTTCATGGTCTGTGTCAGGGAAAGAGCTGAGATGAGATGTCTCTGAAGGCCAGGCCTGTACCTTGTAGTTGACCCCTGACATGCTCACTCTGGGTCCTCCTGCCCAGCTCTACTTTCTTCCAGCAGTAACTGGGGCGTCTCCTCTTAGAGGGATTAGGGTGAGAAAGGAGACTGGTGGGAAACGGGCAGGATTAGAGCTAATGAGAGGGCAGTGGAGGAACCCAATCCCTGGCCCCGGACAGCCAGGAGGGAAGTAGGTGTACACAGGCAGCTGAAGTCAGCAGAGATGGAGCTGGAATGTGAAGTGGGGTGAGGCTGGGAGTGCCGTTACCTAACTCCTGAGTCCACAGGCGGCACCTCAGATGGAGGGAAGAGGCCAGAGACAGACCCTCCTTCTCCTGATTCAACTCTATCTGGGATCCCAGAGCAAAGAACATATCTGACACTATCCCCATGGTTGAAAAAGGCCCTAGAATGGCCCAGAATGGAGGCCTTGGATAACCTAAAGGTGAGGATCCAGGATGGCCCAGGAGTAGGGGACCTGATGAGCCCTGGGCAGAGTAGCTTGGTCTAGCCCAGCTGCTGGGGTCTAGGCTAGTCCAGAGGTGGCTTCAGTCCATGCAGACCCTCTCAAGGTTTGGCCATGTGGCCATCACTATGGTCCCAAGCTGATGTACTTGTATTTTATTTTACCAACACCCTTCCAATGCCTCCTCCTCCTTTGTTCTTTTCAGCATCATTTACTGGCATCAGCGTTCATGTGCCAGGCCCTGCACCAAGGCCTATGCCACAGAGATGGTCATTGACCAAATGGTCCCTGTCCCCTGGAGCTTCTGACAACATGGAGGATAATCCCTTAGCTGTGCACAACTCCTGAGAGTCTATATACTCATTAGTTCTTCCCACCAACCATGTGAAGTGGGCAGGGTAAGTATTCATCCTTGTATTTTATAAATGAGGTTAGTGGCGCTCTGAGATGCCATCTTGAAGGTAGGCTTCAGGGAGGAGTGGGGAGCAGGGTACCTCCAATAGTGTAAAGTCAAGCAGCATGATGAAAAGGAAAGGGCAAGGAAGCCTACTAGTTCCTTCACCAACTGGCATAAGTGACCCCATAACTCCTTCCCTTCCAAGTGAACCCCCCTCACCTGATCAACTGTTTCTTGTTGTTATTATTTGCCATAGAAGTGATTCCAACTCAGGGTGACCCACGTGTGCAGAGTAGAACTTCATAGCGTTTTCAAGGTCATGGCCTTTCAGAAGGAGATTGCCAGGCCGGTGCCATCCAGCGACTCTTGATCAACTATTTGAAACCCAAAAAACATCCTCACCTTCCAAGGCCATCAGTATTCCCTACCTCTCCCTTAGGGCAGCAGTCCCTAACTAGTCAAGGAGCTGTTGCAGGGGACAAGGGGCCCTGGACAAGGCCCCTCCTTGCCCTGATGACCTCAGCAATGGAAGGAGAGGGCAGCAGGGTTGGAGCGCTCAGCCTTTCCTGTGTCGCACTTCACAGGGCCAGCTATGCAGGACAAGATTAGAAAGACATCAGAAAAAGTAGTGTCTGTTCCATGAAAAACCAACCTCCAAGGACACACTTTGAGCTGCATTTTTCTAGAATTTCTGCTCTAGCCTGTGCTCTTCCTGAAGGTAGATGTTCAGTACAGAAGGGCACGTACCTCCTAACCTCTTGATTATGCAAATGAAATGTTTGCAGGTAGACTCAAACCCACAGACTTGAACACTGTTAGAGTGTTTTCAGGGGCTGGTTTGCAGAATCTCAGCTGTGGGGTCTCTTCATTAGTGAGATGGGAAAACTGAGGTCCAGAGAGAAAGGGTGCTAGCAGGGAGCCAGTCTTTCTCCTTGAGATCCCCCTTCTCCAGGGCATCTGGAGGCCTGGGAGCACTGACATAGGTTTTACAGGCCCTCATCCTGGGCATCCAGGCCATGGGCCAGCCTCTTTCCCTCCCAGCTGCCTGCCCCTGGCAAGGCTTCTCTAGTACTTGCTCTGGCACCTGCATGTCCCTCTACCTGTCCCAGAGCCAAACACGGGACCTCACTTAATCCCAATTATGTAATGTGCAATCCAAACAGTTGGCCAGGGAGGAGGGGCTTGGAGCCACGCCCAGGAATGGGGGCAAAAGGCCCCAAGTGGGTCAGGGCTGAGACACTAGACTTGACTTCCACCCATAGTGGTCAGCACTCCTCCAGCCTCACCTGGGACCATGAGTGGCCACGTCGGAGACCTTAGCCCCAAGCAGGCAGAGACCCTGGCCAAGGTGAGAGCCCTTCCCCGGGGGAGCCCTGGGGAAATGGCCTAGAGGGCAGGCGGGTGACCAGAACCCTGCCCCACTCTGTTGGTTCAGCAGGTCTTACTCTAATCTGTCGATTTAGAACATCCCTTTCACAATTTCTCTCTTTACTGTGACCTGCTCCAGGGCTAGATCCAACAGTGCCTGGTAACATCAGCCCTGTCCCACAGGGGGTGTGGGAGCAGCCAAGAGAGCTTCCAGGCAATAGTGGGGAGATGGCCACTCAGGATCCAGTCTGCCTTCTCCTCACCCAGGAGCCGGCTCAGAGAACTTTATCTGATAGCTGAGCCCCCTTCTCTCTCCCCCCCAGACCCTGTAGGTGGCAGTTGAAGGGTGCCCGTGGTCTGCCCTCTGTGTTTTCCCTCCCTCCCTGGGGCACAACCTTGAAGGATGGCAGATCTGGTCTGCATAAGCCAGAGAGTCAAAGCAGGGTGTGTTGTCATTCCCATGGTAACTGGGGAAGAGGTCACCTAATCACTAAACATGATTTTGTGGAAAATGGGATGAAGAAAGAAGACGCATTGGTGGGCTAACACTTGGAAAACTAAGAATACATCCATAATCCAATCCATCTACCCACCACCCAACTATTTATCCTTTCTTCCTTCTCCCTGTCTATCTATCTATCCACTCACACATTATCCCACTAACCTACTCACCCATCCATCCTCCCAACCACCTATCCATCTATTCAGCCTTTCTTCTACCCATCTCTTTTTCTTTCCATTCACCCACATGTCCATCCACCCACCCACCCACTCATTTATCCATCCATTCATCTACTCTTCATTTCTTACATCCACTCACCCACCCATTCATCCATCCATCCATCCATCCATCCATCTACCCCACCCCTCTGCCCACTCACCCATCCAATCATCTGTCTCTTTCTATCCATTCATTCACCCAACCCTTCCATCAGCATGGGCCAGGTTTATGTGGGAGGAGAGGAGGGATGATGAAAATAATCATTGAGACTGGAGGCCAAGGCTCAGCATCTCTCTTCCTAGTTCCGAGAAAATGTCCAGGACGTGCTACCTGCCCTTCCCAACCCTGATGACTATTTCCTTCTGCGCTGGCTTCGAGGTGAGGGCAGAGGTGGAGGAAGTCAGGGTGAGAGGGCAGTGAGCGGGGCTTGGTCCTAACTGCTCCAGAATGACCCATGCTCCTTGGATCTGACCACATCACCTTCATTCATATGCCCAGCTCCAGGAGAGGGGAGGGGGCAGGAAAGGACCCCCACAGGGTCCCCCAGTGCCCTCCACAGCTCTCACCACCCAAGAGTAGGGCAAGGTTGCTATAATACAGCCTCTTTCTTCCTTGTGCCTTCCTTCAATCTTCCTGTAGCTCGGAACTTTGACCTGCAAAAATCAGAGGCCATGCTTCGCAAGGTGAGACTCACCCACCCTGGAGATTTGGGGAGAGGCACACCCTGAGCCCTTACCTCCATCCCCTGCTCAGGGGTACTGGGAACCTAGAGGGACCTCACCACACATTTCCTTTTCAGTACATGGAGTTCCGGAAGACCATGGACATTGACCATATCCTTGATTGGCAGCCTCCAGAGGTGAGGCCAACACCCCACACACCTAAGTCTTCCACAACATACTACCCAAGCAGCCTCTGGGTCACTGGGGACAATGAATGAAGAAAATTCCCTGGGGGCTTACAAAATCCAGGCCTGGGTTAAGATTTTACCTGCATGAGCTCATTTAATCATTGTAACACTATGAGGTGGGGACTATCACCCCCATTTTACAGATGAAAAAACTGAGGCCCAGAAAAAGTTAAGCAGCTTTCCTGAAGTTCTACAGCCCCAAGATGGGGCTGGAGTTTCAGCTCAGGCCTTTCTGACTCCCAGAACTTGACTCTTAACCACTAGAGTTAGACTGCACCTCTGTACCTCTCTCCCATAGAACCTTGCTGGAAGCATCCTGTTTGGAGGAAAGAAATTCATTCCACTAGGACATTGGTGATGACAGTCACACTATTGGCATCTTAGTAAAGTAATGATCACAGCTTCATTTGTGGGGCATGTGCTTTGCCAACATATCTTGGGGACTTTCCTCAACAGTCCCATGAGAGAGGGAGGGATTCCCCAACTATTTTACAAACAATGAGGAGGGATGAGGCTCAAAGAGTGTCACTTGCCCAAGGACACACAGCAGAATCTTTACTTGAAGCACGTCTACTCCCCTTCAGAGTTCATATTCTCCATCATTAAGCCCAAACTCCCTTGCTGTTAAAGGATATGGGAGACATTGGGGGCCAAACTAAGGAGCCCAGAGGCTGAAGGCCTGACCTGATCTGACCTGAGACTTGGCCTTGGCGTTTGCCTACTGTGAGCAAAGTCCTCCCCCATGGGACCCTCAAGTGTCTCCCTTGGAACAATAAATAGCTACACCCTTCAGGAGAGGACAGTACTTTGTACTTGGGACGTGGTGTATGGTGCATGGGCTCACGCCCCCAAGCTAGTCTGGTCTGGGAGTCTCCAGGAAGGTGTGTCACGTCAAGTTCTGTGTGTCGTTTCATGCTCAGGTGATCCAGAAGTACATGCCAGGGGGCCTATGCGGTTACGACCGTGATGGCTGTCCTGTGTGGTACGACATCATTGGGCCACTTGACCCCAAGGGACTGCTCTTCTCGGCCACCAAGCAGGACTTGCTCAAGACCAAGATGAGAGATTGCGAGCGCATCCTGCATGAGTGTGACCTGCAAACCGAGCGGGTGAGGCCCAGGCCAAATAGAGGGGAGGAAGGGGAGAGGATAATCTGCCTGGGCATGGCCCAGTTAGGGGGTCAAATCCCAGCTCTGCCAATTGCTGTGTGGCCTTGGAAAGTCACTTCACCTCTCTGAGCCTCAATATCCTCACCTACAATCAAGGATGATAGTAAATAATGATTGTGAAGATTACAGAAGATAATGCAAGCTAATGGCTAAGCACACAGAACCTAACACTTACTTCTTGTGTAATGCTCAATAATCCACATTTCTTGTCCTGAAAGGGCTAGAGAGATTAAAAAGCTACAGGTCCTTATGTTGTTGTTATTTGCCATCGAGTCGAACCTGACTCATAGCGACCCCTCCTTGGGTTTCTGAGGCAGTATCACTACGGAAGTAGATTGCTCAACCTTCCTTCCGAGGTCCTGGTGTTAAGTACTGTGGTGGTACAGCACAGGGGCTGTGGGAACATAGAAGAGAGCACATAATGGCCTACAATGGCTGCTATTGTTATTTCCTCTGAGTTTTTGCACCTGCTGTTCCTTCTGTCCGGATCACCCTAGCCCCCACCATCCACACTGGCCTCCCACAACCTCACTTGGCCCTTTCTTATTCATCCTTCAGGTCTCAAACTTAGATGTCACCTTGTCTGACTCTACATTCTGAGTTACGTGCTCTCTTCTGTGTTCCCACAGTCCCTGTGATGTCGCACCACAGTGCTTAACACCGGACTATGAGGACCTGTTGCTTTTTAATCTCTCCTACCCTTTCAGGACAGGAACTGTGGATTATTGAGCATTACACATCATAGTCTCAGTTTGGGGCACAAAATAGGTGCTTAATAAATACTAGTTGGACAATGGAGGGATAAATGGATAGTGGACGAGTAAATGGATTGATGGATAGGTGGATGAATGAATGGGTGGATGAGTGGATGGATGGTTGGATGGACGGATGGATGGGTGGGTGGGTGGGTGGATGAGTGGACGAGCGAATGGATGGTTGGATGGATGGATAGATGGACGAGTAGATGAGTGGATGGATGGTTGGATGGATGGATGGGTGGATAAGGAAACACATTTTCTGCTTTGTCCACTCACTCCTATGAGAACAGAGTTGGGAGGCTGGGAGAAGCCTAAGGGGGACATGTGCTTGGGTCACCATCTCCCAAATTCTGTGCCTGCATCCTGAACTCTGGGACTATGCCTTGCTCTCATCCTCACAGCTGGGGAAGAAGATTGAGACCATCGTAATGATATTTGACTGTGAGGGCCTGGGCCTGAAGCACTTCTGGAAACCGCTGGTGGAAATGTACCAGGAGGTGAGGAACAGGTCCAAGGAGGTCCCTCCTACTTGCTTTGATGACTAGCTTAGTCTTCTGCAACTTTGTTGCCTACTCAGAGCCAAGATTTAGGGAAAGGTGGGAGCCTTCCTGAGCCCTATTACTGCAGCTCAGGACTGAAAGAGCCTTAATATGTTTCCTAAAGGTTCCATAGGGGAGCTCTGGTAGCATAGTGGCTAAGGCACTTGACTGCTAACCAGAAGGCTGGCGGTTCAAATCCACCAGCCACTCCTCGGAAGGAAGGTTGGGCAATCCTACTTCCGTAGTGATACTGCCTCGGAAACCCAAGGAGGGGTCGCTATGAGTCGGGGCCAACTCGACGGCAAATAACAACAACAACAAAGCTTCCATAGACAGGCTCAGGACAACACTACTGAGACCACAGGGTCTCTGCCAGACCCTTCCTAGCCCTGTTATCCCTAACTCCATGACTCAAGCAAGTCATTTCACCCCTCTATACTTCCATTTCCTCATCTACAAAATAGGAACAACACTGTCTGCATGTCAGAGATATAGAGATAATTCAGTGAGTTGATAAGTAATGTATACACAGTTCTTGGCAAACGGTGAACATTTAATAAACAGTCATTATTATTACTACACTATCATTACTACAGCATTCACTGTAACGATGGAGATTATTATGTACTTATTATTAGGGTGTGATTGTAATAGTCTAAGGGGAGATGGTGCCCTCCAGAGGCCAGTGTGGGTGACAGCAAGAAGAGAAACCATCCATAGCCCTCCTCTCCAGAGAGGAGATTGCAGAGGGAATAGGGACAGGAGAGAATGAGGTGTGGGCTCTGATGGGGTCTCTCTATTGGTTCCATAGTTCTTTGGCCTCCTTGAAGAGAATTACCCAGAGACCCTCAAGTTCATGCTCATCGTGAAAGGTGTGTGGCAAGTGACCTAGCCCTCTGTGCCTCTCTTTCCTCATCTGTGCAATGAGGATGAAAGTAGTGCCTTGTTCCCAAGGTGGTTGTGAGGCAGGTTGGTGTTTGGTTACATGCAAATCACTTAGCGCACATGCAGAGTAAGCACTGGATAACTGGTAAGTGCAATGGTTGGCGAGAGGAGCCAGCTCTGACATCAGCCCTTCCAGGAGCGCCTCCTCACTTCTCTTGCCCATGCTGATCCATCTCTCTCAGACTTCCTCTGGCACCATGAGTTAGTATCTTTCCTGTTTTCTGCTTTGTGAGAACTCCAGTTGTCTCATGTGTGTTCATTGTGCTTTCCTGGCTGAGCTGTCTGCTCCTTGAAGGCAGGAGCTCTGGTTTTCCACTTCTGTTGTATCCTCCATGGATCTGGGGCCACGGTTTATGCTCCATAGATACATCACTACTGTTTGGGTGGTTGTTGTTTGGGTGGGTGGGTGAATGGGAGTTTGATGGTTGGCTGGTAGGTTAATTGGATGCTTGCTTGGTTGGCTAGTTGAATGACTGTTTGGTTAACTGTCTAGACATCTGGCTAGATAGGGTGGCTGTCTGACAATTTGGTTGATGGGGTGACTGGTTGCCAGATTAGTGAGTTGAGTGGCTGGTTTGTTTTTTGGATCTTGGGTAGTTGGCTGTCTGATTGTTTGGATGGTTGGCTCTCTGGTTGGATAGTTGGCTGAGAAGGGAGCATGTTGGCTGGTTAGGTGGTTGTTTAGTTGACTCATTTTCAGGTTGGCTGATTTGTTGGGTAGCTGTTTAGCTATTTAGTGGGTTATATGATTGGTGGGTTAGCTGACTGGTGGCTGGTTAGAAGGTGAGTTGTTTGGCTGATTGTTGGCTGGTTGGCTGGTATGTTAGATAGCTTCCTGGTTGACTGTAGATTGGCTGATTTGTTAGTTGGCTGATTGGGTGACTGATTAGCAGTTTGGTTGATTGATTTGTTTGTTGGTACGTGATTGGTTGGGTAAGTGATTGGTTGGGTGATTTATTGGATGGTTGGCAGCTGGCTGACTGTTGGCTGATTTGACATATTGGTTTGGGTGGGTGGGTGCAAGGCATTGGAACTGGTCAGCATCACTCATAACCACTCTCTTTCTCTGGTTGTGACTTGTGGGGAGTGGCCAAGTAGAATTATTTTCTCCCCATTATCCTTGCTTGTGTCTCTCCAGCCACCAAACTGTTCCCTGTGGGCTACAACCTCATGAAGCCATTCTTGAGTGAAGACACTCGCAGGAAAATCATAGTGCTTGGAAGTAAGTAGTTCCAGCACCACCCTCTGAGTTCGATGACTGAGCTTTGGAGTGAGGTTAGCCCATCATCCCATCCAGACTTCTACCCTTAGAGTCAGAGGCTCCTCGTTTCCAAAAGTGAGATTGGTCCTATACCATTGAGTTTACTCAGCTACTAATGCTTCATTCCCTGCCACACCTCCATCTCAGTTTCAGTTTGGTTGCTGGGTAACCTCTGGGCTTTGGACCTCAGTTTCCTTTCAATACTCATTACCTCAGTAAAGGCAATGTGGACTGAGGAGGATGGGGAAGAAGAGTAAGAAGAGGAGCTGTGAAGAGGAGGGTGGCCCAAGAAGGGGCTGGATAAGGAAATCACAGTGTATCCATTGATGAGTTTGGGGGCAGCCATGAAAAATGGTGCTGTGAGTGAATATTTAATGTGATGAAAAATGTCATTAAATAAAAATACCAGAAATAGTAGATCAGAAATGGATGTGGACAGTATAATCGTATTTCCATAAAAACAAATACATATTTTCTGAAGGAAGTACAACCAAATGATTTGTGAGTAGTGAGAAATCAGATGGTTTTAAATTTTACTATTTGTATTTTTCTGTATGTTCTAAATTTCATACAATGAGTGTGTATTGATTTTATAAGTAGGAACAATGTGTTTAAAAGTGACAGAGCAACAGAATAAAGAGAAGAGAAATAGTTCTTAAACCTAAACTAATGACCTTATGCTTGGAGGGTAACTTGTCTCAAACAGAATGGTCAGATCATAGAATCAGAGTATCTGAGGATTGGGGAGGATCTTAAAAAGCTCTAATTTTTCTCTGTTTTCCTGATATCTGGACCTCTGATGCTGTCCAGTTCTACTGGGATAGGAAGATTAATGGATCATTAAGTAGCCTGGTCTGATAGGCCTAGGTCCCTGCCTTCTAATTCACTGCCATCAAGTCAATTTTAATGCATAACAACCTCTCCTTGGGCTTCCAAGGTGGTATTTCTATGGAAGTAGTTTGCCCAATCTTCCTTCTGAGGAGTGGCTGGTGGGTTTGAACTGCCAGCCTTTTGGTTAGCAGTCAAGTGCCTTAGGCACTACACCACCAGAGCTCCCATCCCCAAATCTGAGAGCAGTATGGATTAGTGCCACACTCCAGGACCCAAATCCAAGGCTCCATTTAGTGCCCCAGGGGGCTCTATGCATTAGGCTCCGATGTACTACTCATTATGATCTTCACCCATATCCTACTGGAGATGAGAAATGTCCTGTGGCCATGGGGTAGGGTGGGTAGCCTAGATTGGCCACAAGTCTGGAGACATGGTAAACACTTCATGACCCAGAACACTTTTAAGTAGAATATTGAAAACAGTAACGGACATTATGGTTGTGTGAGTAAATGAGGGGGGTATCCACCCAAAGGTCCAAGTTTGCTTATCCCCCACCAAGAGGTCCAATTTGGGTATGCCATTTACTCACTGTGTGACCTCAACAAGACACTTGACCTCAGTGGACCTTCATTCTCCTTGAGACAATTAGACTAACTCTTATCTTTACTGCTCATGACTGGGAGACCTCAAGAACATGGAAATCCTTAGGGAACATTGAGTTTCTGATGGAAAAATTTAGAAGCAGATAGTCATGATGATTGTACAGTATGGTGAATGTAATTAATGTCACTGAATTGAAGATGTAAAAAAGTTGAAATGGTAAATGTTTTGTTATATGTGTGTGTGTATAATTTTAAATTTTTTAAATTATCTATGTATATATAGAGAGAGGAGCTCTAGTAGTGTAGTGCCTAAGGCACTTGATTGCTAACCAGGAGGCTGGCGGTTCAAACCCACCAACCACTCCTCAGAAGGAAGGTTGGGCAATCTACTTCCGTAGTGATACTGCTTCAGAAACCCAAGGAGGGGTCACTATGAGTCAGGTCCGACTCCATGACACATAACAACAACATAGAGAGAGAGAGAGGGAGGGAGCTCTGGTGGCACTGTGCCTGAGGCATTTACCTGCTAACCAGAAGGTTGATGGTTCCAACCCACCAGCTGCTCTGTGGAAGGAAGACAGGACAATCTACTTCTGAAAAGATTTACCACCTCAGAAACTCAATAGGGATTGCTATGATATGAGTTGGAATCAACTTGGTGGCAGTGGGTTTGGGGTTTGGTGTGTGTGTGTGTGTATGTACATATATAATTTACCACAATTTTTAAAACTTTTTAAAGAAAATATGTGCAAATCTTTAGTCAGGGAGAAACATGTTTCTATAAAGCTAGAAAAGACATCCTGAGGCCCAGGATGCTGCTAAATTGGCCTTGGCAGCTTCACCTCTATGGGGCTTCTCCTGGTGGGTATGAGGAGCTGATGGGTCTACTCCATGTGTGATAACCACCTTCCATTCTCCTTGCCCCCAGGCAGCTGGAAGGAAGGTTTGCTGAAACTCATCAGTCCTGAGGAACTGCCTGCTCAGTTTGGGGGAACCTTGACTGACCCAGATGGAAACCCCAAATGTTTAACCAAGGTATAAAGAACCCCAGGACATGAGAGGGGAGTAGAGCTGCATTCACTCCACAAACATCTGAGAGAACCCTGTGAGCCAGATATTGAATAAGACAGTCCTGGCTCTGCCCTCCCATAGCCCTTAGCAGCAGTGCAGGCAAACAAGGAATGAAGGAATGTTGACCTAAAGGGATGAGCTGGGAGAGGACCCTGGGGGCCTGTGAGGTCCCAGAGGAGGGTTTGACCTTGCCTAGAGGGTAGGGAGGGAGCTCTGGTAGCATAGTGGCTAAGGCACTTGACTGCTAACCAGAAGGCTGGCGGTTCAAACCCACCAGCCACTCCCCGGAAGGAAGGTTGGGCAATCCTACTTCCGTAGGGATATTGCCTCAGAAACCCAAGGAGGGGTCGCTATGAGTCAGGGCTGACTTGACAGCACATAACAACAACAACAAGAGGGTAGGGATGGCTTTCCAGAAGAGGTAAGGGGGACAGGGTGAGCAGGATACTTCTTGGAGAAGATGAAGGTGTCTCAGGCAGGAGGAAGAGCAGGAGTAATGACAATACAAGGGCAAGAACCGATCAGTCCCTATGTTTGCAGATCAACTATGGTGGAGAGATCCCCAAGTCCATGTACGTGCGGGACCAAGTGAAGACTCAGTATGAACACTCAGTGCAGATCAGCCGTGGCTCCTCACACCAGGTGGAGTACGAGATCCTGTTCCCAGGATGTGTCCTCAGGTAGGCACAGGCCACCGTCCCAACCCTGGCTAGGGCCCAGCCCCTGGGGTACCTGTCTGGTTGAGTGGAAACTGCTCCCATCCCGACAGGTGGCAGTTCTCATCAGACGGTGCAGACGTCGGCTTTGGGGTCTTCCTGAAGACCAAGATGGGGGAGCGGCAGCGGGCAGGCGAGATGACAGAGGTGCTGCCCAGTCAGCGCTACAACGCCCACATGGTCCCCGAGGATGGGAGCCTCACCTGTGCAGAGGCTGGCGTCTGTAAGTCTGTCCTGCTGGGCCCTGGCATCAGAAGGTTGGAGCCAAGTGTCCCATGGTTTAGAGGAGCAGTGACTCCCCTAGGGACACACAGCCTAGGTTAGTGTCATCATTCATACGGCTGCTCAGTCAGTTCATATCTGTGAGCACTTCCTGTGTGCCAAGAGTCGGAGATGACACAGACATAACAGGCGCTGAAGGTTTGAGAGCACTTGGGCTATGGGGCACAGATGAGGGGCCTGAGGGGCCGTAGAGCAGGTGTCATTTCCTCCATGAAGCTCCTGGGTAGCACAGTGCTCAAATACTAGCCAGAGGTTGATGATTGAAAGCCACCCAGATGCGCCTCAGAAGGAAGGACTGCATATCTGCTTCTGCTTCCAAAAGACACAGCCTTGAAAACCCCATAGAGCAGTTCTACTCTGCACATGTGGGGTCACCCTGAGTTAGCCCAACTAATAGCAACTTATCTATTACTTATTTATTATTATTATTATTATTATGAACATGTGAAAACTAGGGTTCTGAGAAGTAAAGCAACATGTCCGGAGCTATACAACTATACAGCACAGCAGCTCGGTGTGGTGTGAGGGTCCCATTTCAGCATAAAAGCCCAGTTGTTGCCAAGTTGACTACAGTTTGGCAACCTCCTGTGTATCAGAGAGAGCTGTGCTCCCTAAGGTTTTGGATGGCTAATATTTTGTCAGTAGAGCATCAGGCTTTTCTTTGGAGGCCTTTCTGGGTACATTCAAACCTCCAACCTTTCAATTAGCAGCCAAGTGTGTTGCCATTTGCACCAACATCTTACCAATCTAGAGCTTCAAGTTGCTCACCTGTGAAAAGGGATTATAACCCCTGCCTCTTGGGGTGGTTATGAGGGGACAGAGGGTGTGAAGAAGACATGGCCCAGCATCCCACTTAGTCTAAGGGGGCCGAGAGGCTTCTGATGGGTCCAGCTCTCCCATCCCCCACATCCCCATCATGTGGGCATTCAGGTATGGAGACACAATTGCCTTTGTTCCCATTGTCAGTAGGTGCAACTAAAGCCAGCCTAGGCGTGGTGCCAGGAGGAGGTGTCTGTTTACAGGGTGCAGGGGAGCTGTTCCCATGGGAAGAAGGAGTGGTGAAAACGTGGCCCAGTTTGGCAAATAATGCCAATGGGAACACAAGCTTGTCCTCCACTGTAGCCAGGGCAGAGACGCAAGGGGTGTGAAGCCAGACCCAACTGCCCATCTGTCCATCTGTCCCCTCAGATGTCCTGCGCTTCGACAACACCTATAGCTTTGTTCATGCCAAGAAAGTGAGCTTCACAGTGGAGGTGCTGCTCCCGGACGAGGGCATGCAGAAATACGACAAGGAGCTCACCCCTGTCTAGAAGGCCCCCTCTTTCTCAGAGACCCCTGCTTCTCTGCTTTCTCTACATATACCTCCACCCCCAGCAATTGATTATTAGTCCGCCGGACCCCAAGGCATTAGAGAAAAGGCCTGTGGGAGGTTCAAATGCTGTAGATGGATCTGGAAATGTATAAGAGGCACCACCTTTGAAGGGCGTGAAAGTTGCAGGAGAGGCAGAAGGCAAGGGTGAAGGTGGGAAGTGGGATGTCACTGAACCCCCAAGCAATAAGAAAATGAACCCCCTAGCCTTTGTCCTCAGTTATCTTAAGGCATATGTGTGTGCTTGAATTACCTTCACTATAAACTGTGAGCTCCTTGGATTGGAGACCTATCTAAATTATTTTTATGTCCCCTCCTCATATGTTGTTGTTTATTGTTGTTTTAATTGGGTGCCATTGAGTGGACTCCAACTCATAGCAACTTCATGTGACAAAGCACAAGTGGCCCATAGGATTTCCTAGGCTATAATCTTTACAGAGCAGACCACCAGGAACAGATCACCTGGTCTTTCTCCTGTGGAGCGGTTGGGGGTTCGAACCACAAACCCCTCAGTTAGCAGCTGAGCCCGTAACCAATGTGCCATCGTGCTCAGTGTATACCTGTGGAGTTGAAAGGAGGTAGGAAGCAGGTGGTTCATGGATGTGCACAAGGAAGAGCCTGGGCCTATTTCAGCACCTTGGACAGTGGTGATGGCCTGGAGGGAATGGACTGTATGCTGGTGGAACCAGGTGACTCAAGCCGTGATTTCTGGGAGTGGCTACCACCTGGGGGTCCCAGCCACAGAGGTCCATGTCCCTCTGAGAGGAGATCCTGTGTCAGGCTCAAGCTGACTCGGACACAGAGCTTTCCCAACCCTTCATTCTCACCTTCACTCCCTTCCCGTGAAGCTCACAGTTTATGTTTTAAGCAATTCAAGGATCTCTCTTGGAAGCAAAGACAGTCATATCTGGCTGTAGTGGCCACGTGGCAATAACAATAAAGATCACAGCTGTCATTTGGTGAGTTCTCTCTATATGCCAAACAGTTGGCCAAGTGTTTGATGAATTTACTTCATTCCACTCTCACACTAGCCCCTGAAACCATTTTGTTTTGTTTTTATAAATTATTTTTGTTGTTATTGAAAATGTACACAGCAAAAACATACACCAATTCAAGTTCCTGCATGTACGTTTCAGTGACGATGATGGCATTCTTCAAGTTGCACAACCACTCTCACCCTCCTTTGCTGAGTTGTTCCTCCCTCATTAACATAAAGTCATTGCCTTCTAAACCAAACCGAAACAAACTCACTGCCATCAAGTCAATTCCAACTCATAGTGACTCCCTTTGGGTTTCCAAGGTGGTAAAACTTTATGGAAGTAGATTGCCCGGTCTTCTTTCCGCAGAGTGGCTGGTGGATTTGACCCACCAATCTTCTGGTTAGCAGTCCAATGCCTCAGGCACTACGCCACCAGAGCGCCTTCTGCTTTCCAAGGTGGCTATCTAATCTTGCTATCTAAGCTGCTGTTGTGAGTTTGATCCCATAGAAACAGACCTTAAAAGGGCACAGGGCTCAAGGCAGATGATTTTTACTGGTTGAGCTAAACTATTGTTTGGTTTTAAGAAGACTTCAGGGATATTTTTGGCTTAAGGTTTAAATATTACTTCAGGGCAATAGTTTCAGGGGTTCATCCAGCCTCTACAGCTCCATAAATCTGAATTCCATGAGGATTTTAAATTCCGTTCTGCATTTTCCCCCTTTTGAACATAGAATATATCTATAGAATCTCCCGTCAAAATGTTCAGTAATGGTAGTCAGGAACTATCCAGTTCTTCTGGCCCTGAGACCACTTGTAAGGAAACTGAGGCTCAGAGAGGTGAAATCCCTCACCCAATAACACACAGCTCTTAAGTGGTAGATCTAGGGCCAGGGTTTTAATTGTCTTTTCTTTACTCCAATGACATTGCTCTTAACTGGCTATAATAACAGCTCCTAAGATCCTAGTTTTATGACAGAGGAGAGAATTAGGGACTTATTTGTCCTAGATCTTCCAGGAGAAGTGGCCTGGGTATCATCCTCCAGTCCTTATTTGTGAGCTGAGGCAACAGAGACCCACAATGTTAAACCAGCTTGTCCAAAGACACTCACAGCAGCACTGGACAGGGTTTGTCCTTCTAAACCCAGAACACTGTCCACAGCTCACATGGCTTCTATGAAGCACAATCCACTTACATCCACCATGGCCCTGGCTGGTCTGAGGAGAGAAACCATGGCTCCGGAACTCCCTTCCTAACTCCCTACTCTGAGATGGGGACATGGAGACCATGGCTTGAGTCCCAGATCCTGACACAACTCTTGCCAGAGAAGAGTCCAATTATATCAGGGAATGTGGGAGGATGGGAGCCAAGGCCATGGCTGGTTCCATGAGAGGCTCTGTGAGATGAGCTTCAGGGTGGGCCAGCTGGATGCGAGCCATGGGCACAGTATCAGGCCTGACTCCAAGCCAATCATGTTTGCCAGGAGGGACAAGACTGCCTCCTTCCTGGGCCAGGGGGAAGGGGAGAGAAGGAAGAAGGGGAAGAGGAGGGAGGAGAAGGAGGAGGGCTGTCATATTTAGAGAGAAAACAAATCAAGACACTCATGCAATATTACTAAAACTATTTTTCACTATTTATCAGAAATTCAAATTTGATTGGGCATCCTATATTTCACCTGGCAACTCTGTAAGAGGCGGGTGAAAGAGGATCTCCTAGGCTGGGTTCTCTAGAAAAGAAAAAAAAAAAAAAAAACCAACTCACTGCCATCGAGTAGATTCCAACTCATAGTGACCTTTGGGTTTCTGAGACAGTAAATCTTTACAGAAGTAGATTGTCCAGTCTTCCTTCCATGAAATGGCTGGTGGGTTTGAACAACCAGTCTTCTGGTTAGCAGTCAAATGCCTTGGGCACTATGCCACCAGACCTCCTTAGAAGAGCAAAACCAGTGAAGCTTATGTATGTGTGTAGAGAGGATTTATCTTAAGGAAATGGCTCACATGGTCATAGAGGCTGGCAAGTGCCAAGATCGTGGATCAGATATCAGTCTGGAGGCTTCTCCTGACTTGCATAACTGCAGGGGCTGACAAACCCAAGTTTGGCAGATCAGACAGCAGGCTACTGGCTTATGAGTTGCAGAGGTTAATGAATTCCAAGCTTGGCAGGCTATCCGGCAGACCACTGGCTCAAGTCCCAAAACTGGAGGTCAGATGATGAGAGGTGGATGCAGGATCCAGAGAAAGCAAAAAGCTATTAAACTTCACCAGGACATCCACATATGTTCGATAAGGCCACACACCTGAAGAAATCAAACCAAACTCACTGCTGTCGGGTCAGACTCAACTCATAGCGACCCTTCCTTGGGTTTCTGAGGTGATATCACTATGGAAGTAGATCATCTAACCTTCCGTCCGAGGAGTGGTTGGTGGGTTTGAACCATTAGCCTTCTGGTTAGCAGTCAAATGCCTAAGGCACTACACTACCAGAGCTCCTACACCTGAGGAAACTTCCTTTCACTTGATTGGCTACTCATAGCAGATCTCATCATGGAGGTGATTACATACCAGATTTCATCATGAGGGATGACTACATTATAACTGCCAAACCCAGAGAATCATGACCCAGCCAAGGTGACACACAACCATCACTGGGAACAAGGAAGGCCCTCTTGGAGTATGGTGACAATACCCACAATTTGGAACAGGCATGTCTCAGTAGCATTGGCAGAGGACAACTGGCTGTAGCAGTTGTAGAGGGACAGGCGGTACAGCCTGGCTCACTGAGGAAAAGGCCTCCGTACAGTGATAGGCTGAGGGATGAGGTGGGGGACCTTTTGGGCCAAGGATGCAGTGAGCAGTGCTGATGGATGCCCTGTCTGTGAGAGTTCCTGTTGTAACTGGAAAACCCCACTATGAGTAGAGGAGAGTTCAGTACCAGGAGATGGGGGCCATGCAGGAGCCCAAAGCCAGGGCTGGAGCCAAGAACTAGAAAATGCCCTTTGGGTATCCACTGACTCCCAGCCAGGGAGGATCAAAGGACCAGCTCCTACTCTATAACCAGAATCAGTGGGAAGCAACCCTCCCCAACGCCAAGGCTCCAAGTCCAATTCTGAACACCTGGGAAGAGGAATGTGGAAGGGAAGAGACCCACTTTGTGCGCTTGCCAACGGGCTCCCCACTCCCACAGTGATCAGCAACAGCACAGGAGTGAGAAGACCAAAGCTGTAGGTCCCCACGGGATGTGAAGGGAAGTCAAGGACCCAGTTTAGAAATTTAGAGAGGTCTGAGGAGGAGGAGGAGGAAGAGGAGAGGGCTTTAGCTTCCTTGGGAGGTAAAAAAAGGTGGTAGGTGGCTTCAGGTTGTTTCCCAAACCAAACCAAAACCAAACTCACTGCCATCGAGTCAATTCTGACTCATAGCAACTCCCATTGGGTTTCAAGGCTGTAAATCTTTATGGAAGTGGACCACTTCATCTTTCTCACATGGAGTGGCCGGTGGGTTCAAACCACCAATCTTTTAGTTAGCAGCCAAATGCCTAACACTGCATGACCCAGAGCTCCTTTTGTGTCCCATAAGAGGTGTAAATACAACAGCTGAGGTGTAAATACAACAGCTAAGGTGCTAGGTGACCACAGCTGTGGGGCTTCTCTGGAAATCCACATTCAAGTCATGAAGTTAAGAGACCAGCCTGTCCTCTCACACATGATACCAACCAAGATGAGTGCAGAGAAAAGGAAGGCCAGGCTCCACCACTAGGGAAATAGAAAGTTTTATTTTAAGTATAAAAGGGGCTGTTTAGTTGCCTTCTGAAGGGTCCACTGTCTCCAACTCCTCCTCTGAGAGAGACTGAGTCTCCCCCTCACTCCTCTCCTCAGACAATGGTCCCTCCATTGCCCTGGCCACAGAGCCTATCTCCTGGGCCTCTGGGCTACTGGAGCCCTCCTTCAGCTTGCCCCACAGGCTGCCGAGAAAGTAGGGTGGCCAGACCTGGAGCATCTTCCTCAGTGCCAGCAGGAGCAAGATGAGCAGCAGAGCAGCACATATGAAGGCCACTATGGCCACCAGCAGATCCTTCAGTGTCCTGCAGGAAGCTGGGTGGGAGGAAGGGCCAGTAACAGTGGTGGTGCAGGACCCTCTCTTCGGGCAGGACAGAGCTGACCGGGAATCTAGTCATTCACCAAGGCACAAGAAATGCCAGGAGCATGTGGGAGGCAGGGGTGTGCTTGGAGATGGCAACAGGGCAGTGGTGAGGACTAAGAACTGTCCATGAGCCGGGACAGCAGGGGCTGACTCAAGTCCTTTTAGGGCCTTGGCTGTCCCCTAGTCCCCAGGCCTACCTTTAAACCATGACACAGG